AAAAGATGGTGTCCTCCAGAATGTCACACTTTGAGGTCCAGAGGTTAAGAGGAGGAAGACGGGGTCGTTTGAGGGCTTTTGGGGGGGGGGGTCGAAAGACTTGTGCCTGACCTCTTTCTCAACTCTGGTAATGCTATCCTAGGTATATAGTTCAGGGAGGGAATTAAGATAGCAATCAGGGGGGGGGGTGGCAACCAGCGATCGTGTGCCACACCCCTTGCTTGACCCTGGTTGTAAGTCATTGTTGCACAGCTTGCCCAAAAAGAGGAGCAAGTGGATGGTCAATGGTGCATCAGCCAAATGCTCTCAAAGTCCCCATTAGCTGTTCAGAGAAAAGTACTGCTAAAGAGGAACGCTCTCCATCCAGAAGACGCGTCCCGCATGGACCCGTTGTTGATAAGCCTTGAGGAAGTGATTTCAGACGAAGAAATGGTATAACTTTATATGGAAAAAAGAGAAAGATGAGAAAACAAGACTTCAGTTTAGGATGAAAGACCCTGCAAGGCAACAGAACAGGTCCTGCATGTATTGCGGTAAATAACATAAGTCGTTCGATTGCACTAAATACAAACACCACAAGAAACATCAAAATACCTTCGTGAACGAATACTTTGCCTCATTTGTGCATTAGCACAACACCAAACCTCACAGTGCATCCAATTCAGTTTCTCTCATCCCTTCAAATGCAAGTTCGCTGGACGACCCTGTTCGGCTTATTCTCAAGTTCTAGCAATCCTGACCATACGGTTGTGAGTGGATCTTATTTGTACACATCTGTACATATCTGGAGATTTGGGAATAAACGTAATTGAATCTTCGACTTCAAACACTAAAATATAGTTCCGCGTGGCAGTGTTTCAAGTTTGGCAAGGCCTACTGAAGCAAAAGAACCCAATTCCCCCACACTGATGGAATTTAAGCATAGGTAAAATTTTAGTATTGGAAGAGAAAAACTCAAAACCAAAATCACTCAAAATTTGAATTTTTCGTGTAGGGTCATAAAAAATCGGAAACTTGCAACAAAAATTGGAGCAGTCAGTATTGTAGGTTCTTTCACAAGCTCTTTCCAACAGTGCAAAGTTTGCGCCGATTGAGTGTCTCTGTGAAAAGTTATGAATTCCCCGAAAAATGCCAAAATAAATAAAATTCGCTCTTTTGTATTGCTTGCTCGAAAATCATAACTTTTCATAAAGACGCTCAATCGGTGCAAACTTTGCACTGTTGGAAAGAGCTTGTGAAAGAAACTACAATACTGACTGCTCAGATTTTTGTTGCAAGTTTCTGATTTTTTATGACCTTACACGAAAAAATCAAATTTTGAGTGATTTTGGTTTTCAGCTTCAATCTCCTTTATCTGTTCTCGATAGCGAACGGCTCGAGCACCACTGCAAAGAGCATGAGTTCTTCTCTTATGCAAAATTTAGGCCCTGCAGATTCGTTGAGAATTCAACAAGTTATGAATTTTTGAAAATGGGGGAAAGAACTTTCGGTTCAACCTAATATATATTCGTGGTAGCAAGGAAATTTGGGAGAGGTGCAAAAACCGTAGGAGTTGGATCGGGGGGAGGGGGGGGGGGGGGAGCGCCATTGCCGGAACCCATGTGATTCGCACCCTTTTCTAAGCTTATTCTTAGCGCGCGAGCCCGAAAACCAGGGTGACCGAATCAACCATAAAGTCGCATAAAGAAACGCAATATTGGATGCCATTGTCAGCCATTGATCACAGCCTATCCGTATATATGTTGCCCTTATCTAATGCCGCGTCGTCGCATCAAGTACAATACCATCATATACAACCGTCTTCCATGCGATATCATTACACCTTTTCCTCTCATTGAGGGTAAATTTCGCATCATCAAGACCAGTTTTCGCCTCCCCCTTGTTTTTATTCATGTGAAGACCGGTTTTCTACTCCTAATTCTGGCCATATGAACACGTAAAGGCAATATTTTCCAATGCATAACTAGATAATCTTTAATTTAGTAAATAAGAGGGGAAAAGAAAAAAGTGCTTCGAGTATTTCCGCAGCAGCCTTCGCACCCAGCTCAAGAATTGCGGCCGTCCGCCAGCTCAAGAATGCACACGTTGTGGAGGATTCCACAATGACCCCACCTTCAATTCGGATGTGAGCAGGCACGTCAAGTTAGCCTCTGCCGCATACATTCTGAGGACAACAACAATCACCGGAGCCGCCAGAACCCAACCCGTGGAGGAGTCATCGCGATCGCGATCGTCGAAAGAAAGGACATAGCTGCGACAAGCCAGAGCAAACGAATAACCATACGTAAATCAAATAACATTTTTTTTTCATTTTAAGCCTTTTTGTTGCTTTTGAAAAAGAGAATGTTTTGCTTTCTTACTTTTTGGTTTGAAGATTTTTTGGTGTCTATTAGTTTTTGTACAAAAATTTTCCTTGGTTTACTGGGAAATATCAAGCTGGGTAACTTGTATAACTGTAATTTCTAGGGCCCGCAAAGTAGATAATGCAAATAGTGTCTGAAACTCAACGTGGTCCTCATGCGATCCTCCTCTGTTTCCTTTCTCGAAATCATATGGGAGATCACGCTGAGAGTAAGGGTAAACATAGAAATTCAATATCTTCTCTACTACAGCTGGCTCCTATAACTAGATGTAAAGCGAAGCAGAAGGCAAATTCACCTTACTCTACCCCTAGCTCAAAGGAATGTCGCCAAAGTGAAAGTTTGAATCACTCTGCTCCCAAGTCGGAAATCGGCTTTCCAGAAACAGCTACAAGAACAAGAGCAGATCAAGCGAGAATATCTAAGTACAGCCCTTTTGGGTTTGGGACAACCATGGTAAATAGATTGTGACTCTAAACCTCGGCAATATCCGCAAGACCAACAACGGGATGCCCAGCACGAGCCCCGCGGCTCCTCCGAAGTCTTGGTAGCGGTATTGGCGGATGGCGTCTTTTTATGATCCAGCCAAAAGAAGAAAGCAATAATGGCCATCAAGATCAGTGTCGCTACTGGAAGAGAATCTTTCATGTTTTGGCCTTTGTTAAAAGATCAATCTCAAGAATGAAAGCGAGATTTTCGCTCTTGGGCTCCAGCTGAGTGCCACAGTATTCACTTGTAGGTCTGGGGTGATAGCAAATGCGTGTATGACTACCGTTGTGGAAGCGCCAACACATACTACTTTCATGGCAACGATTGGGATGTCGGGATAATCGCGCAACGAACATGCAAAAAACGCAGCAGTACCATCCGTTTATCAATCAAAATGTAGCTGTCCTCCTACTTACAAGCAAATCGAAGAAGATCAGAAGAAGTGGAAGGTACCTGTTGGCATGTACGTGTAACTGGGGACAAATTGGCTATTTCGTAATCTTCGGGCATTAAGAAGCTATGCTGAAATATCTTCGCCCTTTTATGAGGTCATCAATGTGACGCCATCGCCACGTCTCACGAAATTGCCAAGTGTCTTTGATGTGTAATTTTGTAGTGCTTTTTCTTAGGATGCATGGGAGTGTAATCCGCCGTCCCTTCTGGGTTTCTTTACAAAGAAGCCCGAAGCCACCTCATATCATCCTACCTTTATGCACTGCCGTCCAGTCTCTCCATCAGGGCGTAGCATTCGCTCAGCTTTCCCGATTATCAGGATGTAAGATCGACACCAGGAGATGGAAGAATCGTGATGGAATAAACTGCAGCATCAATGATTGCAACATATGATGTATGAGCTCTTATATTCACTATGGTTGCAAAATACAACGTCAAGAACTGTAGAAGTACTCGACAAGTACATCGTCGAGCTTGACGTCTAATTTTAACGTTTAACATGTCAGATGTTGTACCTTCGTAGACAATGCTGTATTATTCTTGTTTTGTTTGGCTGAGGCCTAAGTAATGTTGTTTGTATAGATAACCTGGCGGTTAGGCCATTAAGGCGTGGTGGCGAAGGAGTAACCAACGGCGACGGAGACGACAATCTGAAGAGAGATTTGAAAATACTATGTTAAGTTGACGTTAAAGACTCATAAAAAGGAGGAACTACTGTTTTTGTTCGTCTCGGATTGAAATCGATCTTCAGCGGATCAAACTCGTCATTTAGATGTGGATCGAAAATATCGGAGACTTTTCGCTTAAGGTCCTCACGTATCTGAAATTCAGCACAAATGAGACTTCGTTGTTGGCTAATCTTTTTCAGTAATTCCAATTCCTTTTTTCAGTACTCTCCATTGCGGTCGTTCGTAACGCACCAATGTGTGGAGCTTCTGACGCATATAACTGGTGTAGAATCTGGGGTGTAAGGTTGCGCGAGTCTCTAATATTTTACCCCAGTTCTAACGATGTCACTGTAAGATAATTTGAATAATTCATTACTAAAATGAAGGAACAAAAAAATAGGAGGGAAGTACCGTAATGCCGACTAATGCTAAGAAAGAGGTGACTTAAGGAATGAAAAAAGAGTGAACAAAAAAAAAGAAAGAATAAATATAGTGCTGCCGTGGTCGTTCCGTCGTCGCTCCGTGGTCAGGGGTATTCATAGGATTACGAATTATAGTGTAATCTCAAGGTCAGTTGTGCCCAAAATGACACATCTAACATATAGCATCGAAATTAGCTTTGACGGAAATGCAATGCAATTTTGATAACTGAGGTTGCAACTTGCAGAGAAAGACTGTTGCAATTTGCAAAGTGATGTCGATATCCGATGTCGAGTAAGCTATACATGATATGATATTGATCGGATTGCATTACACCCTTTTTTCCAGGGGAAGATCCGTCCTTGGATCTTGTAATTGTGTCGGTGATGATGATGTGGAGATGACACAGAAGGAGGATAGGCTTTGCGATTCACGAACAAATTAGCTACTGGAGTGGCGAGGGATGACTCCATGAGTGACGAATATGGCTACAAACAGATTGAGAATAAAAAATGAATAAATGAACAAAATTATTATTAAACAAAAAGAATTGTGAGTATTACAAATGCAAATGCAGAAAAATACATAAGTGCAAATGTGTATAGACGGAATGACGCCATCATCCTGGGCGAGGTGACGTAAAAGTGACGTCCAGCGGAGTTGTCGTCGGCGTGTGTATGATGAAATCAATGGAAATTGGTGAATCACGAAAGATCGATGGCAAATTGATTCAGTATTCATCCCGAGCAGCGACATAGTGGTAAGTTCTTCTTTCTTGAGTTGATTATGAATGCCAAATCTGCTTTCAGCTATGTTCGTCGATCGAGAATTCTGCGTAGAACGTTGCCATCTACTGGATAAGTGTTGGAATACCTGGAGGAGAGCACATCTGCATGTGTTACGAGGATTCTGCAATAAGTTTTGCGCTGCCACCACTCTACGCACGAATACTGCTCCCTCAATACTGCTGCCTTCGCATTTGCTTAGGTAGGTTGAAAAAATGGTTTTCAAGACATAGACATAGACATTCCCAAAAACGCAGCAAAATTTTTTTCTTTCTTTGATTTTTTTCAAGAGGTGGTTTCAGTCGCGGTGTCAGCCGCGCCCCTTTTTCTCGGTCCCGCAGCACGCGAGTCCAATAGTCAAGGGGCCTCGGCCGAACTTCCCGGCTCCGACTCTACTCGAAATATCACGAAACACATATAAATTTAGATACTTTATTACTCAAAAAGAAAATTACGAACTACTGATTACTAGAGAACTACCCTGACTACAACATTATATGGAGAAAGAGATTACGGAGAAAGAGACCCTTAAGGGGCCTCAAAAGAGAGAGAGTGTGAGCGCAAAAAGAAAATAAAACATCCAGAGCATAGATCCGCCGTCCGGTCCGCTCATGGCTAAACGGCCAGGATATTTATACGGACAAAAGTAATAAGGAGCCCTAAGCTAAAACAATACAGAAACAATACTAAAACAATAACACATTGTCTACGGAGACACGAAATTGAGATCTAATTTTGGCAGTCCAGCTCGGTGATGTACTTTCCGAGCACTTCTGATGTTATGTTGCATTTGCAGAGTAGACGATAGACGACTGCATTTGCAGAGTAACACAATAGATCTCATCCTTGCTGCATCCATGTCTGCGCATGCGATCTGCCATCTTCCTTCCGTATCCTGACGTGTTGATCTTACATCCTCATCGGCGGAATAAGCTGGCCCTGAGCTAATGCTACGAAGGCCTAGCGAATGTATGAACGAAGACAAGGTGTAGAGATAGGATAGTTAAACTGATGTTGGCTTCGGGCTCACTTTTGAGAGAAAAGAAAGTTTGGAGCGGACGGGGGATCACAAGAAAAAAGAACAACAAATACAATACAAATACAATACATCGGAAACACATGGAGTCCATAAGACGTCCTGATGACGTCACACGGAGGTGATGACGTCATCATTGTCCTTTGTTCGAGCGAGAAGGTATTTCGACATAGTCTGTTCAAGTCGAAGTGATGCAATATTCTAGTCAGTCTCATCGCGTGGTTCCAGTCGGCAGGTGGGATATTCGACTTCTGATCTTCTTCTTGACTAATATCGCACTGGTCATCACAATGAGTGATAGAGCGGCTTCGTTTTCAGGATGTTCGTCGATCGTAGCTTCTGTACTGCCCACTGTCACGACAACGGTATGTGCTGGCGCCATTCCAACGGTAGCCATTCCTGCATCTGCTATGAACCATCGCCTGCAAACAAAAACTGTGGTCTGTCCCCCGAGCCCAAGAGCGAAACGCTGGGTTTCATTATTGGGCTAGGTGAGATAGTTTTTCCTTCCTTCTCGAAAATGACTAGAATAAGAAGGTTTTCTTTTAGTCGCGGCACTGATGTTGTTGGCGCTTATCATTTTCTTCTTTTGGCTCGATCGCAAGAAGGCGTCGCCGGCCGCAAGTGGCATTGAGGCTCCGGAGGAGCCGCGGGCTCCGCGCGAGGAGACCACTCCCTCGGGCGCGGAGGCCTCTGCTCCTCCGGAGGAGTGAACACACTCCCTCTGTTGTTGCTGATGATTTTTTTTTATGAGCTGCTCATTTTTTTTTTGTTTTTGTGTTAATCCCAGATAAAAGACCTGTTAACCCCCAAAAAGTGTTACGACAAAAAAAAGAACACGATTCAAAAGAAGTACCTATATACATGTTATTTGCGAAACGGTTTCGTACGATTCATATGAATCGTACGAATCCGCTTGCCGTCACGGATGGTGATATTCGGTGCATTGATTTCGATCACTTCGAACGGACCCTCAAACCGTTCAGAGATTTTCGATCCTACCTCTTTTCGAACTAGAACTGAGTCTCCAACTTTATAATCGCTAGGGTTTGCTCTTTGTCTGAGATCGTATCGGTGTTTTTGGACAACCTGAGCAGACGCCAAATTCTCATGTACATGTTTCCAAACATTCCTAAGAATAGAAGTTAATTGTTCCGTGTAGTCTTCCTCGTCGACAAATCGTCGTGCGGGAAGCGTTAGAGCCAAACGGAAAGGATTGTTCGGTTCCAACCCATGTACCAAGAAAAATGGCGTGTATTTTGTAACTGAGTTTTCACTAGCATTGTACGCATGAGTGACCAAGAAAATAATATCATCCCAAGTATCGTTGTATTGCATGCTGGCAATCGCTATCAATTCTTCAAGGGTTCGGTTTGCGCGCTCAACCAAACCATTGGATTGGTGATGATAAGGAGTACTGGTCTTATGCTTGACTCCTAATAATTTCAAGGTGTTTTTGAACGTGTCACTCATGTAGTTTGCGCCTTGATCTGTCACTAACAACTCTGGCGGGCCGAATCGGGCGACAAATCGTTGTAAAAATACATCGCAGGTGGTCGGCGCTTTTTGATCCGGAATAGGCTCAGCTACAATGAATTTTGAGAAAGAGTCCACGAAAACGATGATATACTTATTTCCCTTCAAAGTGAGCGGCAAGGGGCCTATGCAATCAGAATGCACTCTTTGCCAAGGCCGAGAAGTGACCTCGAATAAGGCCATAGGTTCGGCCACTCGATATCTTGAGGGATCTTTTCGGATTTGGCAAGGTTTGCATGCGGTAACATACGAGGTAACTTGTTGATTCATGTTATTCCAAATCGCAATCTTAGCTACCGCAGCACAAGTCTTTTTGATCCCTAAGTGCGCCGTTCCTAGCTGAGAGGCATGCAATTTTTCTATGAGTTGCTGTCCTAACACAGTGTTTTCCGGAAGAACTAGTTGCAGTTCCTGGGACAATTTAGCAGGAATTCTATACAAAAGTCCATCCACTAGAATGTAGTCTTGTAGCTCGGGTTGATTCGGGTCCTCTTGCAACGCTCGCTTAAATTCTGTGATCCACAACGCTTCGCTCTGCTCCTTTTTCGCCTGTTCAAGGGAAATTAGGGAGTCTTCAGCGGAGTGGGCCGGAATTACTGCGTTGATAGGAGGATATCTGGATAACGCGTCGCATACTACATTCTTTTTCCCTGGCCGATATACGATGTTAATGTCATATTCCTGCAGAATGAGTTGATATTTAGCGAGGCGACCAAGTAGATCTTTTCGATGCAGGAGCGCCTTAAGTGGTGCATGATCGGTAATGATGGTACACCGAGCACCGTCGATGTATGGCCGGAACTGCTGCACTGCATAGACTAATCCTAACGCTTCTAACTCGATAGCCGGATACCTGGACTCATGCGGGTTCAAAGTCCTACTAGCATAGGCAATGATCTTAATATCCCCATTCTGTTCTTGCTTGAGGACGCCTGCAAGGGCTTTTCCTGAACTGTCCGTCTCTATTATAAACGGAGTTCCCAACCTTGGGGCTACTAGGATTGGAGCAGATGTTAAGGCTTCCTTCAGTCGTAAAAACGCGATCTCGCATTCTGGAGTCCAGCGGAAAGGCGTATCCTTTTTAAGGAGCTGACACAAAGGCGTCGCTATGTTCGCGAAACTGGGTATGAAACGTCGGAAAAACGAACACATTCCCATAAACGCGCGAACTTCGGTCACGTTAGTTGGCGTTGGGTATTTGTCTATGGCCTTGGTCTTTTCAGGATCGGGTTGGATCCCATCCTTACTCAGGACGAATCCCAAGAATCTGATTTTGTCTCTGGCAAACTCACACTTTGCCGCTTTTAGCTTCATCCCTATCTGTTCGATCTTCCCTAAGACTTCATCGATATCTTGAAGGTGCTCCTGAGCTGTTTCGGAAGTGATGATTAAATCATCGATATAGATAAATACACGCGCCTTCAAGATTCGTTTGAAGTCCTCCATAATGCGTTGAAAGGTAGCTGGGGCACCCTTGAGACCCATGGGCATCCGGATAAATTCAAAGGCTCCAAGAAAGCATGCAAATGCAGTCCTTTCACAATGTTTCTCTTCCAAAGGGATTTGAAAAAAACCCTGCTGAAAATCCAGCGAGGAGTAGAAACATTGATTTGCGCACAAATCCACAATATCCTGGATATTGGGAAGGATGGATTGTCGTGCGCGAGTAATAGCATTAAGTCCTCGGAAGTCAATAGTAAACCGCCAGCTAGCGGAGTCTTTTTTCCGAACTAGAACGATAGGGGCGCAAAAGGGCGAATTGCTCTCGCGAATTATACCATGTTCCAACATTTGGAAAATTTGCCGTTGAATTTCCGCTCTTTTCTCAAGGGGCACCCGATAGATCTTGCGCGCCGGAATTTCGGCGTTCTTTATCAAATCTATCCGATGTCTAATGGGTCCATTATAATGGCCCAAACGACCATCCGGGCCTACGAATGCGTTGGTGTGCCTTCTCAAAATCTCTTTTAGGATTTCTAAGTCCTTAGGTGTTAAGGTGGACGAGGAGAAATCTATTTCTGTGACAACATCATACCAATTTGCTCCAGGGATGGCGAATGTCGGCATTCGACTTTCCCAATCCGCTTCCGGAGGCACGTATGGTAGTGCTAATCGATCCCGAAAGTCTACTTGGGATATTTGAGCTGCGGGTTCGAGATATCGAATACCCCTAAAGCTGTTTATCCCATAGACTTCGGCGGGTACTTCCGGTAAAGGGGTAGCTAACGCGATGTGCATCCCTTGATACAGAAATATGTTAGAATAAGAGGGATTCATGATTAGCAGGCTACATCTACCATCGAAAGTGGGAGTGGCTAGCGATCGTCCTACGATAAATAATTCCGGGAAAGGCCGAAAGTTATCTTCGATTAAGAAATCTACTGGGCAGGTTGAAAAATAGCCCTGTATGATAGCGGGGACGATGTTGTTAGATCGACTAGCTAGTACCGTGTCCTGCGTTAACCGAACCTTATACGGCGGAGCTCTTGCGAGCTCGGCTAGTAGCATAGCGTTCGATAGTGGGGTCATGTCCTCCTCCACTGCGTCCAAGGGTCGGATTAGCTTGACTGCTTCGGAGCGAGATTTCGAGCTGATAGTGACGACATGTTGATGGAAATCAAGTGTCAATGCATATCCACGCTGATTAAGTCGCATAATAAAATCTGACCCAAGGAGAAGGGGAGCCGGACAATCGTCATCCTCGGCCACATAGAAGGCGTGATCAATTTGAAGAAAATCCGCAATACTGATGTTAAGTACGAAAGGGCCTAGCAGTGTCACACCCGTACCGTTTGCGGCCTTCGCGACTATTCTTTCAAGCTTATTCTTAGTCAGGTCAATTCCTACCGCGATAAGGTCGGATTTTCGTCCATAGGAGACAGAAGCTCCGCTGTCAATTAAGGCCGTCAGAGGGTGTCCTTGATTCTTTTGGAATAAACCGGTGCTCAATCCAAGGCTAACTTGGATATAGGGAAGGTGATAGTGTCGGGTATTCTCGTAAGTTAGCGCATAAATTCGCGGGATGAAAAGGGATTCTCGTGGTCTTTCCGATTGCGGTCTTAGATCCTGTAAAGGTTCTCCTTCCTCTACTACCAGGGTATTCACCTTCATTCTCTTCCCTTTCCGTCCCTTCTTACTAGCCAAAGATGAGGCCGCCAACTCAATCAATGTGGTCGCTGCAGTTCCCGCTGTCTTCCTAATCAAATACCATTTGATAAGCCAGTATCCAGCAAAAACTAAGAAGGCAACTACAAAAATAGGGGCCACTGTCCATAATAAGAAATATAATATGGACCATTTGATCTTATCTACCCCTGCAGAAAGCTTAGTAGTCGTCGCTTCGTACATGGATTTTATGCTGTACCCTATTGATTTGGTAGCATTTTGCATGTGGGCTAGCGCATCATCGAAAAACCCTCGTTTCTGACGTATTTCAGAGGTGCGGCGAAAATCCTCTACGAACATGGGTGGTGGATCAAACAAAAATGGACGGGCTTTTCTGTCCATCATCATTGCCGGCGGCCATAAACTTTGAACTCCATCAATTTTCTCGCTGCCTATGTACGGACAGGATGTTTCCGCGGATTCTGGAACCAGATCTTCGGTTCCCGGGAGAGAAAACCAGAGCTCTGCTTCGCCTATCAGCACCGGCGTTAATGAGTAACATGTTCCATTCACCTCATGATTTTCGATCATCTTAGCCATCATTACTGGCTTACATCGAGACACTAGGATCTCCTCATCAAGAACAATGGCGGCGATATCTTCCCGGTCCAACAGGATCCGTGCCATCGCAGTAGGATCTACCTGGCGAAGGGCTAGGATCTGCTGCATCCGAAGATACTGTCGCCTACAGATGTTATTAAAATTTATTCGAGTAACAGTATCACTATCACGGATAACATATGGCGATGTTCTTGACTTCTTTCGTGGAGGTGAATCCTCATCTTCCACTGTGGATGGTGTCGGGATTAACCGAGGAGGAAGGAGTTGAGGCTCGGTAAGATTCGGCGGCACCGTTGGGCTAGGTTTCCGTGCTGGCTTCCGCGTATTGACCATCGATGTTGCTGTCTATCGAGACTGACGTTGCGTGGTAGTGGTTGCCATAGTTGTTTTTGCCATAGTTGTTTTCGAAATCGTGGTTGGAGCAGATGATGTGGTTGTTGACGGTATCTGA